ATTGTATATTTAAAATAATGAGAAATTTTTATTCAAAACCCGGAAAAGTTTTCGCACCAAATTACTGAATTTGAGCAGTCAGTAACAATTAAACATTTACTGTCCGTAATTGGAGGGGAGTAATTTTCAGAAATTACCGGTAATTTAATGCTCTTCTAGGTTTCATTTTTATTTAATTATTTTCTAAATGAAAGGAGGAAAAGTTCGATCCCGCAGCATCGAGGTCGACTTACATACTATTCAAAGGTTATAATTTCAAAAATCAAACGGACAGCGTTTTAAATATTAAAAAAACATGTAAAGTCGAGGAATATGTTTGGTGGGACCCAACATTAGAGAGAGAGTTGGATATTTTTTTAGTGAGAACTCATCAGTTGCTCCAGCCCGCCACAATTCTCCAATAGCGAATCGTAGCCGTTCGATTTTGATTCGCAGCACCATTTTGTCTTTTGAAATCACTGAAAAAAATAATTGCCTACAACGCAGCGTTTGTATCCTTAATGATCATCTTCACATCAAGCCGTTGGCTAAGCATATCGTGGTCCAAATTTCTTACATGGTCCCCGAGTTTTGGCTTGATGGAAGACTACTAAATATCTTGTGTCGCAGTCCAGCAACGGATTACACGTGAACCTCACCGTAGCATCTGAACCCTTATGCCCATTATTGAAAGGAAAGAAAACCAAACGTGGAACAATATTTTTAAATAGTCTCCCACAGGCAGGTGTTGGTAGTTTACGGTGCAGCCTTTAGAATCATATAAAGGATCAGATCAATCACGAATACCTCCGAGTGGCCCACATTTCAAACGGGCCCACCTCTATAATATACAGCGAAATTGACCGGGTAAGCACGTTAGTGATTGTACACCGCAAAGTAGACCAGCCATCCCTTCCATTTCGCAGTGAGACTTGAATAGCCAGCCAATAAGCCAAGTAATTCTAGAAACTGGCACGCAGCCCTAGGTCTCATAAGCTCTCCACACGCCTCTCCCTCTCTTTTTCTCTCTCAAATACTGCATCGTCGTCATCATCTAACCGGCCTGAGTTTCTGTTGATAGCTCCTTCTTTAATCCCTCTGTTCTTATCTCTGAGCGCCATCCTTATCTGTTGCTTCATTTGTTTGTTTCTGTTCATCTTGTGAATGCGTGATCGTCATGTATATAACGGGTTCATTCTCAGCTTATACACTGCTCAGAGCTTCTAGGGCAAGGCTTTACTCTTCCTCCCTCTCCTCCTCTTTTAAGTCATTATCTCCTTCTCTGCCTCCTAAATCTGCTTCTCCCTCCCTCATCAATCACCGATCTCTCAGTTCTACTGCTGCTCGATCCCTCTGGTGTTCTGTTCCCCGCTGGAGCCACCGCTTAGATTGGAGGTCTACCCTCAGCCTTCGCGCACAGATCAGAGCCGTTGCTCCCGCCATCGAACGGCTCGAGAGAAAGTTCGCTACCATGGGTATCCCCTTCTCCCCTCATTTCCCACTTTGTTGGAGTTGGTTTGTTCTTGATTTGTTACTCATTTTTTTTTTTTTATCTCCTTCAAGGCTGCAACCGTTCTGATTTTGGACACGATTCGTTTCGTAATTCGGATCTGATTTTAATGGAGATTTTTATTAATGTTTTTGGGTAACTTTACTTTCGGCCGATGGATTCTAAAATCATCATCCTTGTTATTATTATTTTATCTTTCCTTCTTTTAGTTTAGTTTTCATCGAAAAGTTTAACGAATAGTTCTGCTATATCTAACTCTTGACTTTTAGTAATAGAACTTATAGAAGAAGTTGACATGTTGCTTATAGGTGTTATAATAATCAAAGGGGACGTGGTTGATGTGTTCTTTTCCTCTTCTTTGGAAATAATATTGTGAAAACATGATTCTGCTTTATTAGTTAGATGTTAAATTCTGCGTTACTTTTTTGAGTACTTATAATAACTGTAGAATAAAATGCATGATCTAATTGTCTTATCTGCATGGTTTCAGCTTCTGAACACGCCTACAAGGATATCTTAACTAGTCTCCCCAAGCCAGGAGGTGGCGAGTTTGGAAAGTTCTACAGACTTCCGGCGCTGAATGATCCAAGAATTGGTAATTCACAATTTATGGAAGCCACAGTTTTATCATGTATTTTTCCTTTGAAATTAATAATGTGGCAAGTATATCTTAAAAGCAAAATGTAAATGCTCATCAGATCATCAAATCCTCAGATGTTCTGTTAGAAGCTCTTTCATGTTGACTATAATCTTTTTGGTATGTGCACAAGTGCAAATTTTTTTACCAAGGGAAACGGAGATCCTCCTTTCTTTTTTTGGAAAGGGATTGAAAACTCTCTTGAAAATGTCATTTCAACCACCTGATAATTGTCTGTTGCTGGATGTGGCTTATAATTTGTTTTCCTTCTTACCTCTGGTTGTATAACAGATAAACTACCATACTCCATCAGAATCCTTCTTGAGTCTGCAATTCGTAATTGTGACAACTTTCAAGTCACTAAGGAAGATGTGGAGAAGATTATTGATTGGGAAAATACATCTCCAAAGCAAGTTGAAATCCCATTCAAGCCTGCTCGTGTTCTCTTGCAGGTACATCACAATTTTGTGTATTAATCTTTTCTGTTAATATTCTTCATTTTCTTTACCCATAAATATTTTGTTAACAGGATTTTACGGGGGTGCCAGCTGTTGTTGACCTTGCTTCTATGCGTGATGCTATGGAAAAACTTGGAAGTGATTCTGCCAAGATCAACCCTTTGGTGTGTTTATGTTTTTCTTTTCTAGCATATACATATATTACATACAAAGGCCTAGTCATTCAGTTTCCTTTTCAGACTGTGTTGTAAAGATTCAATACCGTCGATAAAATTCATGCTTATTAATGCATGTGAATGTCGAATATCTCTGTTATAAGCACTAAAAACATATTTATACTTCACATGTTATGTAATACACATAAGCGGAAAAACATAACATTCCATTTGCCTTCTTTTACAAGCTATTGGTTGCATTTTAGCTGTTTCTTTCTTTCTTGACTTGATGGCCGGGCATACAGTTAGTTGTTATGTCCAGTTGCCTTCTTTTACAAGCCATTGGTTACATTTTAGCTGTTTCTTTCTTTCTTGACTTGATGGCCGGACATACAGTGAGTTAATTTTTATTGTCAATTATCAATATGACATGGTTGATATTGTTGACCTAACATGTCATCTTGTTTATAATTTTTTTTAATGTTACATTGATATCTGGCTTCAGGTTCCTGTAGATCTTGTAATTGATCATTCAGTTCAAGTTGATGTAGCAAGATCAGAAAATGCTGTTCAGGCAAATATGGAGCTTGAATTTTCTAGGAATAAGGAGAGGTTTGCTTTCCTTAAATGGGGTTCTACTGCTTTTCAAAACATGCTTGTTGTTCCTCCTGGTTCTGGTATTGTGCATCAGGTATACCTTTCAAACAGATCATTCAGTGCATGTGATGTATTTAGTCACTGGCTGAAATATCTCTGCTGACAATGCAATTAAAATAACTAAGAGCTTATTTAATGCATTAGGTTTATCTTATTTTCTCAGAAGAAGTATTTGGCTTTTCTGTTATATTCTTGAGTTCTGATATAGCCATTATTTTCTTTTTATTGCCCCCATACAAGTATGTTTTAGATTCAACTTGGCTCTAGTGTGAAGTGAGTTGAAATGCTGGAATTTCAGGTTAATCTGGAATATCTTGGACGAGTTGTTTTCAATACCGATGGTATACTCTACCCTGATAGTGTGGTTGGAACTGATTCTCATACAACTATGATTGATGGACTAGGAGTTTCTGGTTGGGGAGTTGGAGGTATTGAAGCTGAGGCAGCAATGCTTGGCCAGGTAATTAGTGACTTGAAAATTGTTGTTATCCTAAACTGGATCTTTGAGAGTTTGAAGAGTGCATTTGTAAATACTATATGTCAAGCATAAGTACAGTAGAAACATGCTTTTGTTGACTTATAAAATTTTATATTAAATGCTGAGATGAATATATGAATTTAATGCCTCAGACTTATGTTGCACTGCATCTGGGAATTTGTAGTTCTTTGTCAAGTGTTTTCTTTTTCGAGTCCACTTGTAACATTATCCCATATTTATTTGTAGTTCTAGGAGCTGAGTCAATCTCAGCTTATCAAGACACCAGATTTTGAGTCTTGAAAGGTGAAAGTGGACTACTAATAGCTTTAAGCTTGATATTTTCTTTATTGCCAAAATTTTTGTATTTCATTTTTGATGGTACTAAGATTTCTTCTACTTTTTACATGGTTTTATTCGTTTAAATCACTTAAAAGAGTTCTGTACTGTTGTCAAGTATCTGTTTTGTTGTATTGTACACAAATTTCCTAATTTCTTTCTTTTTTGTTTAGTTATGTTAGATAGTTTAATGATTCTAAACAGTCAAAGGGGTCCTGCTTCTACTTTTTATCTTTTGAGCCACGTTGTATCATGCTGAAATTCTTTTTCTGTTGTAACTCTCCTGCATTGACAGCCCTTGAGTATGGTGCTGCCTGGTGTTGTTGGGTTCAAGCTCTCTGGAAAGCTACGAAATGGTGTTACCGCTACAGACTTGGTTTTAACTGTGACACAAATGTTGAGGAAGCACGGCGTTGTTGGAAAATTTGTTGAGTTCTATGGTATCTTAATTGAACTTAACTAATGTGATTCTTGAATAGAAGTTTCTCCGTTTCTGTCGAAGTTCACATCTTGATTTTTTGTATATTCTTGTAGGGGGTGGTATGGGTGAACTGTCATTGGCTGACAGGGCCACTATTGCTAATATGTCTCCTGAATATGGTGCAACCATGGGATTCTTCCCTGTAGACCATGTTACTCTACAATACCTCAAGTTGACTGGAAGAAGTGATGAAACTGTGAGTATTTCCCATTACTCTTCGTATTTGCTATCAATCTGAAATTCATAAAACAGTAGGTGACTTCTTCTCTAAGTATAGGTGGCTATGATTGAAGCATATCTTCGTGCAAACAATATGTTCGTTGATTACAGTGAGGTAATAACATTTTCTCCTTTCATATTTTGTTTTTTCATTTTCCCCTTTTGGGTGTGGCTGAAGGTATATGTAGTCAGCTCTTAGTTTTTGCATTGAGAAGTAACTATTTGAATTTTGTCCTTGAACCTTTATTGCAGCCCCAACAAGAGAGAGTGTACTCATCATATCTAGAGCTGAACCTTGCGGAGGTTGAACCTTGTGTTTCAGGACCAAAGAGGTGTGTCCTTTTTGCTTGTACACTCATATGTACTCAGTTTTCTCTCTGTTTCCTGTTCTCTTTTCCTTTGCCTTCTGGACGATTATCCTTTTATAAGGTTTATATCTCCACCAAGTTATATAATTTTTTTCTGGCAGACCCCACGACAGGGTTCCTTTGAAAGAGATGAAAGCTGATTGGCATGCATGTCTTGATAACAAGGTTGGGTTCAAGGTGAGTCTTAAAGCTTCTGCAAACCTGTTCTTGTCTGCATGACTATCAATTTACATGATGTCCTGACACTAAAGTAAAGGCTCTTTTTGCCTTAAAATTTTTGATGTGGCTTGTTTTCCAGTTTAAGCTTGTAAATTCGTTCTGATAGATTGAATAATGCATGCAACTAATTAATTTTAAATAGCTAATTCAATGAAATTAATATTTATGTTTTTGATAAGTGTTTAAGTGGAATAAGCTTCATTCTAGTTTATGTTTTCATTTCTTAAAGTTTTAAAAAATTTACCTTGAATTATATCATCATTTGCAAGACCCTCTTCCTCCTATCTATGTATAATTTTCCAGGAAGTATTGACAGTAAACCCTGCCTATATAGTGTATCACCAGCAAGCAATGTAGATGTTGACTTGTACTTCATTCTGTCACTAGCTAGTGTTAAGTTTATATCCTCCTGTGTTGCCAGCCACTGCCATTAATTGCCTCTTCCTCCAAATACAATTCAGAAGCCCATTTTTGGCAAGCATCCTCAAGTTTTTAATGCTCGATGTGATGATGGAACATGAATCTTGTTATTATTATTATTATTACTACATTTTGCTAATCTTTGAGATGTTATGTCATTGTTGAATGAAATGAAGATCTTGTATACAAAGAGGTTGGAGAACACATTTATATATATGCATATTGTTTGCATCAATTCTGTTAATTTTGCAATTTTCCTATTTCTTTTTTATGAAAAAACTAGGGCTTTGCTGTACCAAAAGAAGTACAGGACAAAGTGGCAGAGTTTTCATTCCATGGACAGCCAGCAGAGCTCAAGCATGGCAGTGTTGTTATTGCAGCAATCACAAGTTGCACAAATACATCAAATCCTAGTGTCATGTTGGGGGCGGCTCTTGTTGCGAAAAAGGCTTGTGAGCTTGGTTTACAGGTTAGTAATTGTTGCATTTGTCCTGTAATCCTTTTTCCACTCCTGGAATGAGAACTTCCATCCCACTGAACTTGGCTGTGATCGCTATCTTCAACACGTTTTCTGATGATTTTGGTTGAATAAACTGTTCACCAGGTGAAACCTTGGGTGAAAACAAGTCTTGCCCCAGGCTCAGGAGTTGTTACAAAATATTTACTCAAGAGGTACTTAATTTGTATCAAACTTTCACTTTTAGTGTGAATTGTCTCTCTTATTATTCATGTTTTTGTTTCGTCCAGTGGATTGCAAAAGTATCTTAATCAACAGGGCTTCCATATTGTTGGATATGGCTGTACTACATGCATTGGAAATTCTGGAGAATTGGATGAGTCAGTTGCTTCTGCTATATCGGAAAATGGTATTCTCAAAGTTAGATAGAAAACATTCTGGAATCCAAGATAATTTTTCATTGATGCTTTATTTGGACATTAATTAAGCTTACATCTTATGCACCTTCCTGAATGGTTATGTTTAATAGTTTACAGGTTTAACTTTACTTGACAATCTTATTTCAAATTTCTGTCCAGATATCGTGGCAGCAGCTGTGTTGTCTGGGAACAGGAATTTTGAAGGACGTGTTCATGCCCTAACAAGGGCCAACTACCTTGCTTCACCTCCTTTAGTTGTTGCCTATGCTCTTGCTGGCACGGTATGTAATTAGTATCTGGATTAAGGACTTTATATGTGTGATAATTTTTTTTTGGAAAGAAATTAGACAAATGGTCTTGCTCATAAAATTTGAAACCTGACAGTAAATTAGGTTTTACTGTTTTATGCAAGTGAACTTTTTTTGCCTGCTGATGCATTGCATTTAGTCATGTGACTTTCATGGGAAGCAGATTTGTTATTGGATTCTTGAATTAGCTTTTTTCCTTGAGGGCTAGGGTGGCTGAATTAGATGAAATTTCCAGAAAGGGACATTTTCAACCATGTGTAACATTTACATTATCATGTGGTCTGTTTTAAATTCACCTTATGTATTGGTCAATATATATGACCAACAAGTGCTAGTCTTTGTTGGTAGATAGTCTGTTTTTATGCCTTTATATGTTTGAGGTAGAAATCCTGTGGCCTTGTATTTCTATTGTAACACAATTGTGGCCATTGACCCACCTGTAAAATACCTCATATATATATTTTCACCTCTTTTCTTTCTCTCCCCTTTCTCTTACGAGGTCTCAAACCCCGGGAGTTCCAAAATTATGATTCCAGAGTTATGTTATTTCAGAAAAAAAAAATGCATGTAAAATTCTTTTTCCTTGTATTGGTGTTAGGATTATTTGCTGTATTGGTCTTTCGATGTATTGTTGACAATAACTCTCTCTTCATGGACAATAAATGGGTGAGGCGTAATTTGGCGAAAGTTTTTGTGTGTTCATGTTCATATCTTCAAATTCCGGATTACAGGGACTAACGCTACCTGTGTTTCTTGCTCCTTTGCTTTCACACGTCCATTAGGTTATAACTTCTTTCCCTTGAGCTCTAATGCTGTTTCCTCCTAACAAAAGAGGAAACTTGAACATCTCTATGATTGCTTAGAAATGAATTTTCCAATAATAATCCTTTTTGGTAGTCATTATTTATGTTGCCTAATTACATAAATTGCTTTCTACTATTTTCCAGGTTGACATTGACTTTGAGAAGGAGCCAATTGGAACCGGAAAAGATGGGAAGAGTGTCTTTTTCAAGGATATCTGGCCAACCTCGGAGGAAATTGCAGAGGTAGACAGCTTCAACTGTGTTTTTACAAGAAACCTTTTGAGTTTTTGTATAAGTATTTTATCTAGGTAATGCATAATTATAATTTGAGCGTCTCGTTTTGAAGGTTGTTGAGTCCAGTGTTTTGCCTGACATGTTCAAGAGTACTTATGAGTCTATCACAAAAGGAAATCCAATGTGGAATCAACTATCAGTACCCTCTTCTACCTCATATTCGTGGGACCCAGATTCAACCTACATTCATGAGCCACCATACTTCAAGAACATGACCATGGATCCTCCTGGTCCCCATGGAGTGAAGGATGCCTATTGCTTGCTTAACTTTGGTGACAGTATTACAACAGATCATATTTCTCCAGCTGGAAGCATCCACAAGGACAGTCCTGCTGCGAAGTATCTTCTTGAGCGGGGGGTTGAACGCAAGGACTTCAATTCTTATGGAAGCCGCCGCGGCAATGATGAAATAATGGCTAGGGGAACCTTTGCCAATATCCGTCTTGTCAACAAGCTCTTAAATGGAGAAGTTGGTCCGAAGACATTTCACATTCCTACTGGAGAGAAACTCTATGTGTTTGATGCAGCAATGGTAAGTTCCTGTGGATATCATTGCACACTCTATTTCAACTTACGTGATTTTCCTGAAATTATATTTTGGAACCTAAGATGATTTTTCACTGCTACGATACTATCGGTGTTAAACCTTAAACCACTAAACCTGGCCCTTGTACAGATAGTTGAATGGCTTAACTAAATGGGGATACTCCCCTAAGCCCTAAATTTTAAATCCTTGCTTTTTGGTTGCTCCTATTAAGTTACTGCTATTTATTTTTGTTAAAATTCAAATTTTAATGTCTTATTCTTAATTAGTGCACTGTCTTTCCAATCATTAGGGGGAAGGAAAAGGGTAATTCTAAAGAAACATACACTTCGCCATCCATGTGAATTTGGTAATTAATGATTGTACAAGTCAGACTCCATTATTATCCCCTAATGCATACTATGGGTATACTATTTCAGAGATACAAGAGTGCTGGGCTGGATACCATTATTTTGGCTGGGGCCGAGTATGGAAGTGGTAGCTCCCGGGATTGGGCTGCTAAGGGTCCAATGTTATTGGTCAGTCTTTTCATTTGCCTCGTCACGTACTTCTGCTCTCTTTTTCGGTTTTGTTTAGGCACCTGCTTTACCTGTTATCTTTTTGCTAAGATTTCTCAGTTGTTGCCACAGGGAGTTAAAGCTGTTATTGCCAAAAGTTTTGAGAGAATTCATCGCAGTAATCTGGTGGGAATGGGTATCATTCCACTTTGTTTTAAGGCTGGTGAGGATGCAGATACACTAGAATTGACTGGACATGAACGTTACAACATAGATATCCCAAGCAAGATTACCGAAATAAGGCCTGGCCAAGATGTGACTGTCACAACAGACACAGGAAAATCTTTCATCTGCACGGTTCGCTTTGACACAGAGGTACTCCCTGCTTTGCTCTTTTTCATATACATACATTTGATATTCTATTTAAAGATGTTACAGGGAACTGCTTTCAATTGGTTAAGAGCACCAAACAATTGTTTATAATTAATTTATGTAATAACTTGTTTAAAATTATGTGCACGGTTTCCTTTATGTTATTGATGCAAGAAGAATGAGCTCTATTGCAATACGGCTTAACTAGTTTTTTTGGATGGATTTCATAGGTGGAATTGGCTTATTTCAATAATGGAGGAATACTTCCATACGTTATTAGAAACTTGAGCAAACAGTAAACTATCATTCAAGGTGTTTGCTCCATTCAACAGAGTTTTGTGAACACTAAAACGCAGTGAAGAGAATAAAGTTGCTAAATAACAGAAAGTCCGTTTGAGGGGACCGGATGTATCATTTTTTCCCCTGACATTTCAAGTTTGCGGCTGGACAGACCTGATTTGGTCTGTCAACAAGTGAAGATCGTAATTTTTATGAATATATTCCAGTGCGAATCATTTTGCACTGGTTGAATTTCTGCCTTGTCTTCGGGGCTTTAATTTAAGTTTCTTAACATGGAAGGTAATCTTCCATGAGGCTCGAGAATTTTGTATTAGGTTTGCAGATTTTGTATGAGCCTTTGTTACTTAAAAAAAAAATGCCTTAAATATGTAAAAAAGCTACAATTCTAACAATATTTCCTTTTACGCTCCAATTTGTTTTTCAAAAACTTTAAAAATCTTGTTAATCATGAGAAAAAAAAGAGAATAGTAGACAAATTAAAATAAATGAAATTGGGCAAATATATATTCTTATAAGGGATGAATATTGTTTCTCCTTTTGCCCCCTTTTTTGAAGACAAAAATAATTGAAGATTCAATGCCCTTCTTTTCTTGTTATTGGAGATGTTTGATTGGACCTATTCTGCTACTGTAAGGTAAAATGGCTGGTTGCCAAAGTTGTAGTTGAGATCAATAATTTTAAAAGCCTTCCCTAGTTTATCTGAAATCAAAGACTGTTTTTGGAAAAGGTTTGTGTCTGAGCATGCTTATCAGGTTGGAAAATATTGAGTTATTTCCAAGCAAAATAAAGTCAAAGAAAATACCGGAGGCTTGCGTTAATACTATAATGTGACAATCATTTTTCTGACTTCAACATAGTGATGAAAGAATAAACTGTTTAGTAACGTAATTTTTTCCAAATTTACCTACCTAAAGGATAGGCTATAACTGATGTTTGAATGTGAATTCTACGGGCTAAAGCCGAAGTAAGCTAGACATGAATTCTCATCCATCTTGATCCCAAAGTAAAATTCCATGGTCTACATACTGGATATGGAAAATATGTATATATTATGTGAGGCAAACTCCTAGCAAGGGGTGTGTGTATCCGTGAAAGACCATGGTTTGTCATGTTGAGGCTACTCAAGGTAATGATTTATTCAAGTTAGTACATATCAATGCAAACAAGTCAACATAGTCAAAGCACTTGAAGATCAATCACTTTCATCTTTAAGTCTCCCTTCTCTCTAACTGGAACCAAAGCCGGTCTGCAATTACAAACACAACAATAGATTTTTATGTTGCCAATGCATTTACTCATAAGTAATCAGGGACAAAGCGAATGACATCTACCCTTCATTTAAAGGACTCTTCCATCCATGCCATCAAGGATACCCGACCACATGCCCTTCAATGGTGGCAGTTGTGCAACAAAAGCATTCCAAGGAGGGTAACCAACTCCACTGCCACGAACACGGCCATCCATTCGTAGAGATAAGTAACTGCAGAAAGAAGCAAAGGTTAACAAATATAAACTTATATATCACCACAGACTTAAATATATTCTTAAGGCATTTGTTTGCAAGTGATCATGTGGGAGATTTTACATACACCGGAGATTCTGGGGAAACACCAGCCAGCTTCTTTTGTTCATCTAACCATCTGTTTAATTAAACCAAGAGAATAAGGAACGGGAAAGAGAGAAATGACTTTAACACAGTCTGTAATATCTCTTACTTGGACCATTCAGAAACATAAACTGGAGCCAGCTGCCATAGCCTCTTCCTTCTTGCAGTTAATTCTTTTTTCTCCTCACTCTCCTCAAAATCAAAACTTGGTGAATTACCATCGGTAGCAAAAGGCACCACAAGCACTCCTCGATCCAAAAGGCTTTCGGTGAATGGTTCACTTGTTTTAAAAGCTTGCTCAATGAAGGATGCAGGACCAGCACAGATTACAAGCCGAGCAGCCCCTCTCAAAGTACTAACAGAGATAGTCCTCTTTTCGTTCACACGCAGTTTCAGGTTTGATAAGCTTTCCTCTCTTGAAAGTTTAGCCAATTCTGCATTCTTAGCTTTATTATCCCTTGAATAAAGGAACGCAAAAATGGATACTGCACCAATATCTATAGCCAGACCTTTGACAAGTTCAGGGACTTGGGCTGCTCGTGCTGGATTTGTTAGTGCAGCAATTAACTGTGTGGCAGCTATTAGTCCTCCTATACTGCCACTTGCAATAAAAGAAAGATAAAAGAACATCCGAAGAGATCGAAAAGGGGACAGAACTTCACTTCTTATCTTGGCTGTAGAACTGAAGAACAAATAAAACTATGATTACAAGGAGATCTCACTTGTAAAACACAACCTGATAGGCAGAAAGTTAAGTAGGAAAAAGGAAATGCAGTTAGAGCGGCTATCCAAAATCCAACCAAAATCTTAACCTCATGATGCATCTATGAATTTAGTTTCTTATACCCATTAAAGAATGTCATTGGTATCTTACAATTTTTATACAAGATTGTTAATCTTGTCTTAAGAAATTTAAATAGACAATAAGAGATCCCAGAAAGCTGAAGTCATCAAAAACGTCAATCCTGATCAGAAAAAATTCAAAACCTATACTTTGATAATTGAAAATGAGTAATCATCTCTATGATTTCCAAGGAAATGAAAGTGCTACAACTGAATCGTCAAACACTCTAAGCTAACAATTTCAACCCCTTTTAGCTGGCTTGGCAAATTTTTGAAAATCTATCAACGAATATTCAAGAACCACCAACACCCA